AGCTCAACACGTCTACAGAAAGGGAAATCCACTGAAACCGCCGGTCATGCGCTTGAAAAATCAGTCCTCCATAAAGTATACGCCCTGGTAGCCTTTTTAGAAATGGAAGGGGCATTCAACAACGTTCTCCCAAAAAACAATAACCAAAGCCTTGACGTCCCTTGGGGTAAATGGCCTTTGGGAATTGGATAGAAGTCAATTCAACTCTATGCAAGATGGAAGAGGGGGACTGCAAGGTAGTGGCGTACGCGGGGCGTATCCCCAAACACTATGTGACCTCATAAGCGCGAAATTACAAACTAAAGCGAACTGGGCAAGCAACAACGCCCTAGGAGCGCAAAAAACAGAACTAGTTCTCTTCAGCAGAAAATAAAAAATTCCTGCCCTTATCCCTCCAATACTTAAAAACTAAAGGCTCTTCTTCAGCGAAAACGCAAAGTACCTAGGCATGGTACTAGACAGAAAGCTAAACTAGAACTTAAAGTAAAGCGAAAGATATAAGAATGCTCTATTTATTTGCAAAAAAGTAATAGGGCTCAAATGAGGCATGTCCCCCTACATAGTGAGATGGATCGTCCTGGCCATAGTTAGACCCATAATTCTATATAATGCTAGGGAACACACAAGCACCCTCTTCAGCACCATCATTACCGACCGGAAAGAATGGAACGCATAAACCCCAGGCCCAGAGAACGCGGTAAGCTTCTACACAGATGGCTTAAAATTAGAAAACAAAGTAGGAGGAGGTATATATTCCGAACGACTAGGCAACAAGATCTCCATCAGACTTCCTTATCATTGCAGCGTCTTCGAAGCTGAGGTGATGGCAATGGCAAGACTTCAAAGTTTCAAGCATCACCAATGGTGAAGTAAAGATTTTCAGCGACAGCCAAGCGACCATGAAATCTATTGAATCGATGACATGTAACTCGGAAACAGTTTCAGCCTGGGAGCCTTAGTAACTTCAATTCTTACCACGCAAAATTCAACAGTGAAGCCGTTTATTTGGAGGATGATATTAAGCAAGAGATCGAGGACATAATTCTATCGACCCCAGAGGAGGAGAAGTATTAGGCACTGCAGAGTCGCTTGCCAGCCCAGTTTGCAGAATCGCCGAAATCAAAATTGCAGCATTTTCTCCAGGGAATCAACACAACCGGTTTAAAAGCAGAGGGGGATATTGGTCCGTATGAGGCGACTTGCACCACGCGTAGGCAACGAACCTGCGTACGTGCGTATTTAATGAGAGTCATCAACCATCAACTCTTAGCAGTCCCATGATTTGAGCATCCTCGCCAGACAAAATGTTGGAAGCTAGTAAAGCGGGCTGTTGTGTTTAGGAAGTGCGGACGCTTTTTCACAGACAACTAACGGAGGTGATAGAGGTACAACCATAGAAGTAGTGCTGGACTCAATCAAACAACTTTAAAGAGAAGTTAAAAGCATTATGACACCACATCAACATCACTCTTGCGTTTACTGTCCCCTTCAACAACTAACCAAGGCCTCTGGTGGTCTCTGGTCTTTTTTGGTGGACTCTGGTTCAGTAGTATCAATTATTTCACGCTCTTCTGTACAAGTTAAAGAAAATTAAATAAATGTGGCTATTACTAATTACTGATGTGCTCAGTGCTCACTCACCGATGAAGAGCGCCAGCTAGGGCTAACCTAGCAGCTCTCTTTTCTCCAAGAGCAATAAAATAAAAAAAATATTAAAAGCGACATACCCGTGAAGGTAAAAACATGAAGGTAAAAACAATACTACGACATGAAGGTAAAAACAATACTACGCAATACTAAGGTGGGACCCACAATGGCAATCTATCCGCGGAAATCTCCGTGGTCAGGGCAAGAATGCTGGAGGCCCAAACTTATATTCCGAAAAAAACTGATCCACCTTAGAGGAGCTACAGGCGTTCGCGCGGGGAAACAAAATGAAAAGAATCCTTTCTAAGCAGATAGCGAGCGATCACACTCCGAAGATGCATCGGGATCATCACCATGTAGTTCCCAACCGGAGAAAGACCTCGAGGGAGGTCTTTTGCCAAAAACCAGGGGATGAAGGATTGCAGGAAGGGTTGGAGGGTAGTTGCAGGCCTCATAGCCCCAAAACCCGGAGGGTTGGACTAGGTGCGGATGCAGTCGGTAAGCGCTGGGCAGTAATAGTTCACGCGTCTATGAAGCGACGCAGACCACATCGAAGTTAACCTTGTACAGCAAGGTATCAAGGACAACCTTGATAAAGCGCTGGAAACTACATAGCTGGACGAAAAGACGTCAAGCAAAGCCTGCCTAAGAAGAGACGTTCCGACTCGTTTACATAGAATAGCAGAGGCAGGAAACACGTATGGATATGTCCTTAAGCTAATACCCGCCGGCCAGATGGTAAGCTATACGAGGTCAGCCAAAGCGTCAAAAAGATCAGGTGCACGGCCAAAGACGATTTCTGCTGGAACTGGCGGTAGCTAAGGATGCCAACACCCTCCAGCTGTGGCAGACGCTATCCCAGGTGCTAGGCGAAGCAGCGAGCGTGCGATCGGTCATTCTCGTTGGCCATCGAAACCTGGTAATATGTGACGTCAGATCCAGTGTGATAAATATGGATTTACCGTGGAGCTCTCGGCCAAAGCCTGCACGTGAACCACTGGATATCGGTCTGGTCAGGGAGTTTACCTTTCGATAATCGGATATAGCTGGCCGATCCTTATGAGAACCTCGTAACAAAACCAATTAATTATAAGAAAATATCTAAAAAAAAAAGTCCCAAGGTTCTTCTTCAAAAATACCAAAGTTGGTAATTCTACCAAATACCATTTCCGATCATTCAGTTATATGGCAGCTATAAAATATAGTCGACCGATCGTTATGAAATTTGATATATTAATAAAATTTATTGTTATTATTATATTATTGTGAAGTAATACATGTTTTTTGTCTTTATTTTAAGCGTCTTTTTTATGTTTAGCTAAAGTTTTAGTAGTGATCCCACAAAATTCTACAATACGTTTATATACCAATGTGGTCTCCAAAGGTAACAAATGTGTACAAATTTTTTGCCAAAATTTGCCTATGTGTTTAATATCGTAAAAATAAAACCACAATGTTAACTTTTTCTGGGTCACTTTTGCCGTATATTTACTTGTTATGCTGTTGCTCTGTATCGTGTGTCATGCCTGTGTTTACCTTTCCAAAACTATTTGTTCATTTACTAATAGTTTTTATTTTGTGTGTTGCACGATCTTATATTTTAAATTTATGGTGTGGCAAAAGGGAACCAGCACAGAAAGACAAAAAAATTAGATTGAAGGCCTAAAAGCGAACATCATAAAAAACGGCTATTTTGCTGACATGAATGAACTAGCAAAGATTGTTAAGTTTTGGTTGAAATACAATCGTACGAAAGCTGTAATTCTCCAAAGTCAATCTGATTGGTTGAAGGAAAAAGAAACTTCTTTTAAGTTGTGCCCCATCCACATCCAAATGTTCTGACCGTGGATGACCAAAAATAGATTTTATGGAAGCTTCTAAGCGGACAAAACGACAAATAATTTCTGAGCTATCACAAGCTGACGAATCTATGGCTACTGTATTACGCTCATGCAACTCATCTCAACCAACGTGAAGCCGGATGATCCGCAGATAGACCAGCTTATGGTGCATGCAGGGACTCAAGTAAATACAGAGAGGGCGGCCCGACTGGTCACTGCGAAGCTAAAGCTCTCGATAATGGAGAGGGCGGCCCGACCTAGACACTGTGAGCTAAAACTCTCTATAGACAGCCCGTTGAATCGAGCGGCCGAGAGAGAGTCGGCTTGCGATCAACTAAGCTTTTGTACAAACTTAAGCCTAATAAATAAACATTACACTAAGCATTGCACTAAACATTACATAAACATAAACATTAAAAGCATAGCTGCTGCTGCTTTGTTTGTGACTTCGTACATATGTACCACTACAACTAATTACTCAGGAAAATGATCCACAGAAACACAAAGTAATTTACACATCGTTTGCAGTTGACAATGGTTGACGGAAAAGTCTGTAGTGCTTTAAGTGAAACATCAACTTGTAAATGCTACATATGTGACGCAAAGCCGAGCGAAATGAATGACTTGAAAAAATGCTTAAGGAAAAAGTTTACGAAAAACATTTTGAGTTTGGGTTGTCTCCGTTGCACTTTTGCTTTACTTATGTTTATTGTTTACTATATACTTATATTTAAAACTAAAAAGATAATCGGGAGATGAATGCGGCAAAGACTCTGCAGTGGCGGCGGACGATGCTGACGAAACTTATTGAGAGGAGAGTGTCTCCTGGAGATGAACTCCCGTAATATCGATACTCGCGTGAGTTATCGAGTTTTATCGATAACGAGAACTGAAAGGGGTTGCCACAGTACCCCCCTCCTAGAGTTCCAGTTGGGAAAGATACTTTGCTGGGAATCTGATTTGTCGTCCTGATCTTGACACTTTCTCGAGTGTCTGAGCAGTTGGCGCTGTCGTCTGCTCCTGTACTAAAGGCGGTACGTCTTTGAAGATGTAAGCTGGTTTAAGTCGATCGATGGAAACCTTGTTGTCCTTTGTGTGGCCCTTGAGTGTAAAATATTTGTCGTGTTTTGCTACCACTTCGAAAGGACCCTCGTAGTTTGCTTCCAACGGGGTTTTCACTCGATCCACTCGAACGAAGACGTGGGTACAATGGTTTAGGTCCGGGTGCACAAATTCTTGCGGTGTATGATGGTGCACTGGCTTAGTGGTTGGCAGTTGAGACATGGTTTTTTTGAAGAGCCTCGGTGAACTCAGACTAGGTGTGTTCCGCCTGGCAAAAAAATCCGCCTGGCACCCGTAGTATGGTGCCATAAACCATTTCCGCAGGGCTCAGCCCGATGTCGCTTTTGATTGTTGTGCGTAGGCCGAGTAGGATTAGATGCAGGGAACTGCTCCAGTTGATTGGATCGACGCATTTTAAAGCAGCTTTTAACGTTCTGTGCCAGCGTTCGATCATACCATTGGCTTGCGGGTGGTACGCCGTCGTCCGAAGGTGCTTAAAACCCCAAAATTTTTGGTAAGCTCTTGGAATAATGTAGACTCGAATTGTCGACCCAGATCGGTTGTGATGTGAAGAGGAATACCGTACTGAGCGAACCAGCCCGATATCAGTGCGTTGGCTACAGATTGTGCTGTGATGTCTACTAAAGGAATTGCTGCGGGCCATCTTGAGAATCGATCGATACACGTGAGGCAGTATCGGTATCCGTTCGATGAAGGCAGCGGGCCGACTATGTCGATATTTATGTGTTCAAAACGGGCGTCGCTGGCGGTGTACTCTCCTAGTGGCGATTTGGTGTGACGTTGGATTTTGGCCTTCTGGCACGGGATACAAGAGCGTACAATTTTAGCGACATCCTTCGCCATGCGGGGCCAAACGTAGTGTTTTCCGACCAACTTGTTTGTTGCCTTAACTCCCGGATGGCTCAGCGAATGTAGGGCCTTAACCACGGTTTGACGTAGGCATTTGGACACGAACGGACGTGTATGGTTATTGGCGACGTGGCAGTACAATTGCTTGTTTGAGCCTGCAAAAGACAATTTTGTTAGTGAGATGGGTTTTTCGGCGTCAGACTTGAGTATCGATTGTAGTTCCGCATCGTTTTCCTGTTCCAGTCCACACGAAGTTTCGTCGCAATCCCAGTGACAATGCTATGCGTTTTTCTCCATAGGTTTGTATTTTCGTGCCATTGGCGGCGAAAAGAAGCTTTGGAGTGAGCATAATTTTTGCGTTTTTGCAGGGTGGCATCACTGAAATGTCGGCGCCGGTATCGATGAGAAACTGTGTTTTGGAGAAATTGTCGTTGATGGCGAGGCGGGCAATTGTGTTGTGGTCTTCTTTGAATTTGTCCGCCGAATCCGAAGATTGATTTAGTTTTTTGGTTCGGATGCAAAAGAGCATAGTTGGCGACATTTCTTGGCGGCGTTACCAAATTTGCTGTGGTACCAACACATGTCTCCGGCTATGACGCTGTTGCGATCCGTTCGCAAGCTGTTCTTGCGAGAACGGTTTCTGAAGAGCGCGTTGATTTGTTGTTCGATGCGGTCTAGACGATCGTCGGAAACGGCGCTGCTGGTTGGCGCCGACATGGCGTCGATGGTGCGTACCTGATGAAAATCACCGACTTCCATCACTTTATCTGCCAACTTAGCTAAGTTTGCTAGGCTGGCGTCCGATTCTTGCAAGATCGCTTGCACTTGTGTTGGTAAGCGCTGCAGCCACAGTGCTTTCAGGAAAGATTCTTGAACTTTGTTTGCGGCGAGTGCATTTAACTCGTTGAGCAGTTGCGTGGGGCGCTTGTCACCAAGGTCGGTCTCCGATATTAACTTCTGGATTTTCTTTTGTTCGCTTTCGCAGAAGCGTTCCAGGATGCACGATTTCAAATTTTCGTACTTGCCTGTGCGTGGTTGGTTGACGATGGCGTCGGCAATTCGGGCCAACACCGGTGCTTCGATTGACGCTAGGATTGTGTTAAATTTCCTTAACTTAACTATATGGGAGCTATAAGTTAGTTCTCCGATAGTTCTATAGTTCTCCGATTTGAACCAAATTTGGTAAGGATATACATACCTGCACCAAACTGGTTAAGATATCTTTAAACACAAAAAAGTTTTTGATACTAAATGTTGATTTTAAACAGATTGTTCCTATGGCAGCTATAGGATATAGACGTCCTTTCTGACCAATTTTTTTCTTATACACTTAAAATATTATTTTAGATTTTTTGTATTAATTTTATAACGCTATGTCCACTAGAAGTATTTTTGGCCGCGTCTCCATACAAGCCAACACTGGGCAGCGCAGGCGGCAGCTGACTAGTTTAACAAAGCTGTGAATTTGCATCCTGGTCGACATTTGCAGGCTGCATTTCCAAGCTTTTGATGATACCAGCAGTCGTCTTGGCTATGTGATGAGTAATGTTGAGAAGCCTTTCATAATGATTAAATATAATGTTGTTTGATGTTGCCCACCTTATTAGCTTCCAACATTTTGAACATTTAAGGTTCCTCAAATCACTTTCTTTTCAAACTGCCAAGAGCGGCCGAATGGTTGATGGCATCTTATTCATGAAAAGGGCATGAACGGTTGGTTTGTCGCCTACGCCTAGAGTTTCGGGTGAATGTGTGTAACATAGAGAAGGAATCATCTCCGACCCCAAAAAGTATTGGGAGTTTGAATTAATTGTAAAGGGTTTCTTAGAGGTGGCGTAATTATCACTAGATCGCAACGGGCACATGTGTGACAATATTCATTCTAAAACTCATTGTCTAAGCTTTTTTTTCTGTATCTGTTGATGCACTGAATTGTTAGCAACATATATATTTTCATCTGTGAACATGTTGACTTTTGTTTCAAAAAAACGCAAATTGCGGGAAGGTTTACTTCTGTGCTTCCATTTGAGGAAAAAAGCTTTTGAGGCACAATGTACTCTTACTGAGGCTTACGGGGACTATTCTCCATCGATTTCCACTTGGGGACCACCCGGACATGCCTCGACGACGACAGCAAAGCCGATTATCGACGGTTCCAAGCTCTGGCTCTGTGTTTGGTGGGACCAGGGTATTGTGTACTATGAGCTGTTAAAACCATACGAAACGATCACTGGGGATCGCTATCGTATACAATTAATGCGTTTGAGCCAGGCACTGAAGGAAAAACGGCCACAATATAAAGATAGACACGACAAAGTGATTCTGCAGCATGATAACGTTCGTCCACATGTTGCGAAGCCGGTAAAAACATCTTGGAAAAGCTAAATTGGGAAGATTCACATAGAGATTGACTAAGATTCACATAGATTTAATCTCTCATAAAGACGAACGGACAGACGGACATTTCTACATCGACTCGATGATGATCAAGAATATACAGTCTGCTGATCTTTATGATTTTTCGTAGATCGGAGCAGTTGGCCAAAAGTATATTCTGTGTGAACTCCAACCTATCTTTAAGAACACCAAGTTATTTAAATACTTTACAGCTTTGAAGAATTTGGACAAAAATTATAATACCCTCTGTAAGGGTATAAAATATATATATATATAAAGGCACGAATTATTTACAGGTTGAATAGTTCCAACCGGAAAACTTTTTAAGTAAAGATAGATTCAAAATTTTTGTATTTACTAATAACTAAATTAATATGAAACATTTACCTAAAGGATCAACTCGTGTAATGACCTCTGGGATTATGGGCCGCACCAGTACAAGTAAAATCGCCAAACATAACGCCGACTTAAGCCATGCATAGTTCCAAAAATTTCTAGGCCATTTATAGGACCCGATTTTCATATTCTTTTGCAAAAAGTCTTCCAACACCAGAGGTATATTGATTTGGTATTTTACTATATTACCCATTGGTAATGGTCCGAATAATGAACAGTTGCTACCGCGCGGCAATATATTGATTTTCATATGAATGTTTTACTTAACGGATTTCGATTTCATTACATCTGTGACAGTTTTACTTTACATTTTAGCGCCATTTAATATTTTAAAAATGATGCATGGTTTTTAATTCCTTTTTTTGTGTATTATTTTGGTATAATATCAATAAATTATTAAAAGTTAGCACACCACCACCTAGTGACACCACGCAACAAAAAATTGTAAACAACCAAAAAAAAAATAAATTTCTAAAAAAATTTTTAATTTCGTTCTATAGACGATTTTAATCTAGCTCGGAGCCACTAAAAGTTTTTCTTTTGTTTTTTTTTTCCACAGTCGCGTTTTCCTGACTTTATAATACCCTCGACTATTAATCTCTTCAACTGACACTTTAACAAACCTTCAAAAGTATATTCTCAACAACCAAAAAAAGTTTTTGCACACTTTTACCCGGTACATAGAGAATCATCTCCGACCCCACAAAGAATACTATATATTTACGTGGGCCGCAACAAGAGCCGAATCGACGTAGCCATGTCCGTCTGTATGTATGGGTCTCGAAGACTATACGAGATAGAAGTATCCGATTTGTAACTGGCATTCTTATGGTATCCACGCAGATCCAGTTTATGGGAATGGTACTTTAGTATGGAAATCTTTTGATGTCAGTAACTCCTCTAAAAATCGGCCAGAAAAGTTTTTTAGCTTTTCCAACAAATCGTTATTCTGGGTTTTCATATAAACATAAAACCGGTTTAAGTCGATAAAAGAGTTTCAAAAAATAATTTTGAAATAACATTTTATTTTTAAAATTTCGATTTTAAGCAGTTTATCGTTTGGTTGATATTTTTTAAAGTCTATTTTAATAAGGTATAAAATACTTAGCTAAATACCTTGAAAAAAATCTGACTGCAAATTTGACGCAAATGCTGGTATTCCAACACCCGAAAAGTGCAGTGTTGAAAAAAACTTCTGCTTCCTGGTAAGGAATACGGAATTATCAGATAACTACATATAGTTTACATTTGTAGGTATCAATTTGGATAGTGGTCTTTAACTTACAATACGAGCCTTATATATCCCCTCCGGTTCACCATATCCGTAGGTGAGTTCATTCTTTTTCTTTTAACTTAATAGGAGACCATATCATAGTAACAGCATCCTTACATATATATAATGCCATTACATAGAACACTTACCAAAATACTAGCCGTCAAAGCCCAATAATCTTGGATTTAAAGTTTCTAAAAATATTTCGATCCAATTTAACTAACTCCAAATCCGATATCGACAGCTTTGTCAAAACACAGCATATGGCCTTCTTTATCGCACCTCTCATCTCAACACTGCAATTACTCAAAAACTTCAATAGTTTAAGGTAAAAAATTGGCACGAAAATGGCACAAAGACGAAACATCTACAAGGGGAGGCTGATAAAAATGTCGGCCTTACAAAGAAAATATTTTTTTTTTATATTTTGTTTTTTTTTTTATTTCTCAACATAATCTCCTTTTAGACGTATGCACTTGGACCACTGATCCTCCAGTTTCCCAATATCTTCCATAAAATAGGATTTGTCCAGGTCCTCAAAATAGGCTTTTGTTTCCCAGATTACCTGTTTATTTGACTGCCCGTGCCATTTTTTTTAGTTTGGAAATAAATAATAGTCACAGGGTGCTAAATCTGGATAACAGGGTAGATGGGGTAAAACTTCGTAGAGCAATTCACACAATTTCGACATGGCGACAACGCTCTTGGGAGCGGGAGCATTGTCCTGGTGAAACAAAACTTTTTCTTCGCCATGTGCGGCCTTTTTTTCTTCAGCTCCTAATCAAATCGTCCCAAAAGATTGGAATAGTATTCTCCCGTAATTGCTCTGCCTTTTTCAAGATAATCCACATGAATTACACCTCGGGCATCCCAGAAAACCGGTGCCGGTTTTCGGTGCCGTTCCTCCAGTTGAAATCCATTGCTTTGACTGTTCTTTACTCTCTGGTGTATGGTGATGAATCCAGGTTTCGTCAACAGTCACAAAACGACGAAAAAATTCGTTTTTGTTTGCGTTAAGCAATGCCAAAATCTCCTTCGCAATGTGCAGTTTTAAAAACAGAAATCTTATGACAGCACGATATTCGATTTTATTCATGTTGACGACAATGCAAAAGTGAATGCGATAAAAGTCCCTCCAAAATAACCAGTGTTGATGTAACCGCAATGAAACTTTTACAGTAATCATCAGATAAAAAAAACACTTATAAAATAAAATATTTATTATTAAATACGAATTTAAAAAAAATTTTTTTTGTAAGGCCGACTTTTTATCCGCCTTCCCTCGTATTATGTCACATGCGTCGAAGAAAGATGATCACATCGAGTAAAATATATTCCTACCTTAAAAATGTGTTGCGACCAAAACCGACCCCAAACTGTTTTATACTTCCGACCCTAATACCTTAATCTTAACACCAGCGTAAACATATCATAAACACGAAAATATCATGAAAAAGCAACTGAACTTAAAGAATTCTTTGGTAAATCTTTTATCTCGTATAAAATTCTGTAATGTGTCGACGCACTTTAAACTTTTTAACTCCATCACTATGCTCAAAAGTTTCCCAGAAAGATGGAAAAACTCAACTGTAATTATTATACCGGAATCTAACCAAAAAATTCGCTTGGCTTATAGTCCTACAAGTCTACATAAAAAAAAATGGAAATAACTAATAGTGCTATTGTGTGAGGGAAATCATTTTAGGTTAAAATTTTATTTACAGTGTGCAAATTAAACGCAGACATTTCACGCCCATTACTTTCTCACATCAGTCGTTCTTTTGGTTCCCGGGCGCTATGGCTGGTCAGCTTAGGTCTATGTGATGCCTACATACACTATAGAGAACAGCTACCACTAGCAGGGAAAAGTGTCAAGAATTTACCGGCAAAGTAAATTAACTTTACAAAGAAGATTGGTCAGTGTCCGATAGTAAGCTAAGGTCGATTAAATTTTTTTTTTGGCACGTGCAGTCCTGATGCCCCGATTAAGGAAGGTGCCACAAAGGAAAACATTATTGTGTTATTTTAACTCCTTTATTCATTTTAATAATCTGTTTTATTATAGTAAGTGCAGATATGACCTGTCAAGATTTGGAGGTCCTGCATCAGAAGGTCAAGGCTGCAAGCATTATGAGCCTCGAGTCAATGGAGAAGCGTCTGTAAGATTCACCACGCTTCAGGAGAAATTGGAGGAGCTAAACTATTGCAAAATCGCAATTTATTTAGATTTATATTGAAAATTCTCTCAGCTTGTCACGGACGTGCACGTTGATTTCCAGGTGGACGTTGACAAGCGCTCCATGAGTATCTGCCCACTCTACGCTTTTGAATGATACCAGGGGTGCTAGTATTTAACCCACTCCATACAGGCCTGCTCCCTCATTGCCCCTGTTGCTGATGCCAACTTTCAGTGGTGGCTATGCAGATTGGACGGATTTCTGCGCCGAAGATTGACAGCCATTCTCACTTGACCACGATAGAAAAGCTCAGGTGGCTCATTTCATGTCGGCGGGAGTCAGCGTTGGCGACTTTATGAGGGCTGAAGATTACCGACGCCATTTATGATGTTGCCCTTGATGTATTGCCGTTTTAATATCGTTTTAATAATCGAAGTTTAATATTCCATGCTTACATCTTTATCTCTTCGGGAGTTATCCGACCGATTCAATGGTCATCGCCACTTTGATGTATTTTTCTTGCCAACCGCCGTGACCGTCCAGGAGCCTTCCTTCCCTGCCGAGCGCTGCTTGATTCCGGCTCACAAGTTCATCTCATCACATCACGGCTGGCCATCCAACTTCAGCTTCATCGGTCCAAATGCTCTGTAGCGGTGACTGGCCTTGGAGACGCTGAATTCACTACAAATTGAGCATCGCTTAATGTTTGCCTGAAGTCTCGCCTATCCACGTCTTTGGTACACATTGAGGCAGTTGTGGCGTCTCACACGGAGCGTTAATCTGGTCTGAACATTTCAGATGTCTTCAACTGAAAAGTTTCTGCATATTGGGCAAAAAACACCGTTTTTTTTGGCACAATTTTAAAGATAAAGGGCTCCAATTTTGCATATATGCTTAAACTATTTAAGTCGAATTTCCAATTTTCCATTTTTTCCAATCACGATTCTAAGAAAGAGCTCGATTGCGATGCCCACTTCGTCATGCACTGGAATGAGGTGCATATTCGGTTCATATTTCAAGCAAGTACAGCGTAGAGCGGTTGGGAGAATCCTTTGCACAGACCTTGCGTCGGTGCCATTCGCTTGAGCGCAAGCTGGATCGTCATCCAAATTTAAGGAATCAATATGCTTTGTTCATCAAAGGATACTTGGATGAATCTGGTGCACCAGGAATTTTAAGGTAAGTACAAATAATTTCTTCTTTATTTATGCGTCCTGAAGGAAGAAAGTTCTACTACTAAGCTGAGGGTTGTGTTCGACGGTTTGGCTGCTGCATCCTCTGAATATTCCCTAATTGCTCTAACGGTAGACATTTGCAATATGTACCCCTGCTTTAGAGTCGCTCCAGATGATAGTTAGCTGCAGTGAATCCTATGGTGAGATTCTATCCACGATGATGTCAGGGTTTCAAGCTTGACACCGTGACTAGGATTAAGTTGCCGGTTTTCCCATTGGCTCTCGTGTTGTCCTTAAGGATTTTTGTGTTGACGACCTAATATCTGGTGCACCAACGAAGACTGAAGCTGTTGAGATAATAGCCCAGACATTCAGCCTTTTAATCAAGGGTCCGTTTCAATTAAGGAAGTGGTGCTCCAACATTCCAGAAAATTTTGGAGAAGTGCCCTAGGGTGACAAGGAGTCGTACTTAAAATTCGACGATGGTTTCCCTTACGCTGTTTTCCGTCTATCTATACTATCTTCCGTCGCTAGGTTTTATGACCCGATGGGCTGGGTAGATCCTGTCGTCACCAGTGCAAAGATGGAATTGCAGCTGTGCAGGGAAAATTTTTCTTGGAATAAAAGCCTTTCTCAATCCGATCTCTCCGAGTTATCTATACCGAAGCTTGAGCTATCTGGGACTGTGTTACTAGCAAGCATGATGGCTGAAGTTTCTTGAACGAAGATTATTGTTTTTGGTGTGACTCCTTGGTTGCCCTTGAAAGGCAAACAGACAACAATGATGCTGATAACAAGCCGCTGCATTAATATTATTATACCCGTTGCTCACAGATAAGCGTGTCAGAGACACGTGATTTTTGTGAGTTGAGTGCTATTCTTGTTCAAAAAAAGGATCGTTGAACCGAATGAGTTGCGCCCGTAATCTTTATACTGAACACGAGCTAAAAAATTTGTAGTGAAACGAAAAATTGCTCGCACCCGAGTGGATTTAAAATCAACAATGAAAATGTGAGCGCATGCAAGTTTGATCGGCTGACCCGAACAGTGTGATTTTTCGGATGTTG